TCTCCCTTCCTTAGAAGAGGTGTTTGCTCGACTTCGGAGGACTTCCATTGGATCTACTGAGAACTCTAATGTTTCTGATAGATCGGCCTTTGTAGTATCAAGGGGCCGTGGTGTTAGGGGTGGAGCTCGAGGAGCTCAGTCTGGTCGTGGTGGTAGCAGTGGTCCGATATATGGCCAGAGTGGTGGTGGTGGACCTGCATATAACCGTGGTGCTGGTCGTATTGGAGGTAGAGATTCAGGGGGAGCCCGTGGCAGAGGACGTGGCTTGGGTCTGAGATGTACTCGTTGTGGTATGGATGGGCATACCATTAATTATTGCTATGACTTGGGCTGATCATGCCCTGACTAGTGACACCAGTTTCAGACAGGAGAGTCGTTCAGCTGATCAGATGACTCGTACATCCACAGATGTTCCCGGGAAGGAGATGGTGAGTGTTCCCCGTGATGAGTATGAGGTTTGTCCAATCCACATCTCAGCAGAACACGACTACTTTCGCACACTCAAGTATGGCTTGTTCGGCATCCACACCCAATCTCTAGATTATTGACTCTGGAGCCTTCGATCACATGACTGGAACTCCAGGTGTGTTTTCTTCCCTCTCATTGCTCAACATCACAATCTGTTACCCTTGCTAATGGTTCCACATCATCGATTTGTGGTGTTGGCAATGTTAACATGACCGCCTTATCTTTATCCTCAGTTTTGTATGTCCCTAAATTTCCGTTTAACCTTATGTCAGTTAGTAAGCTGACCAAGTCACTCAATTGCTCTATTACCTTTTACCCTTTGTGTTTTTTTTTCAGGATCTCAAGACGGGGATGAAGATTGGTGGAGGGCATGAAGCTGGTGGATTGTATTATCTTGACAGTGGTGGAAAAACATCAACAGCTCTCCAGTCATCTCTCTCCTCTCCAGTGGCACTGTCGATTTGGTCATCCTTCGTTGAAAGTTCTGAAATCTTTGGTTCCTTCGTTGAGTCAACTTTTTGTTTTAGATTGTGAGTCGTGTCAGTTGGGGAAACATCGTCGTGTTCTCTTTAGTCCTAGGGTTGATAACCGTGTGTCGAGTCCTTTTTCTTTGGTTCATTCAGATGTTTGGGGTCCTTATAAATAGATGTTATACAATGGATATAGATATTTTGTCATTTTTGTTGATGATTATTCGAGGATGACGTGGCTCAATTTAATGAAAGAAAGGAGTGAATTGTTTACCATCTTCCAAAAATTTTATGTTGAGATTCGCAACCAATTTGGTGTTCACATTAAAATTTTTCGTTCTGATAATGGCCGTGAATATTTCTCTTTATCATTTCAAGAATACTTGAACCAACATGGCATTATACATCATACCTCATGTATCTACACCCCACAACAAAATGGGGTGGCTGAGAGAAAGAATCGTCATCTTTTGGAAACAACTTGATCCCTCATGCTTCACATGAATGTTCCCAAACCCTTTTAGAGTGATGCGGTGCTTCTTGCTTCTTGATTAATCGGATGCCCATGTCTATCCTTGATGGTCATTCTCCATTCACTACCTTGTTTCCCACCTTGTCTCAGTTTCCTCTTTCTCCTTGGGTTTTTGGGTGTGTCTGCTTCGTCCACAATCTAGGCCCCGAGAAGGACAAGTTAGATGCACGATCCATTGAATGCATCTTCCTTGGCTATTCCCGGACCCAGAAAGGGTATAAGTGTTATCGTCCTAGTTCTCGACGTTCCTTTGTATTTGCCTTCTGTTACATTCTTTGAGTCTACTCCATTTTTCTTGGGGTCCGGTGATGTTTCTTCCTCCTCATCACCTTCTCTTCCACTTCTAGTTGCGGATTTTGTTCCCCTTGTTCTAGCCATTACCAAGTCCTTGCCTCCAGTGCCATCACCTGTTGAACGACCACCTATCCGTCAAGTGTATACACATCGCCCACATGTACCGGGTGCTACTCCAGTTCCATCAACGTCAACAGATCCGACAGTTGTCTCCACACCAGCCCCAAACCCAGTATCTGATCTTGATCTTCCCATTGCCTTGTGGAAAGGTAAACACACTTGTACCCTTCATCTTATTTCTAATTATGTTTCACTCACTCACTTTTCCGCTTCCCATTGCCAGTTTATCTCTTTGTTATTTTCAGTTGTTGTCCCTAAGGATGTCCAGGAAGCCCTTGCCTCTCCAGGGTGGTGTCGTGCAATGGAAGAAGAACTCTCATCTCTAACTCATAATCATACTTGGGACCTCACCACTCTTCCTCTTAGGAAGCATGCTGTTAGTTGTAAGTGGGTTTATACTGTTAAGTATTTACCTGGTGGTAGTGTAGAGCGCCTGAAAGCTCGATTGGTTGCAAAAGGGTACTCCCAAACCTATGGTATTGATTACATAGAGACTTCCCCAGTTGCTATTGGTAGATTCGGTTCGTGTTGTGATCTCTCTTGTTGCTATGTATGATTGACCCCTCTCTATCAACTTGATATCAAGAATGCTTTCTTGCATGGTGATTTGCTCGAGGAGGTCTATATGGAGCAACCATCGGGGTTTGTTGCTCAGGGGGAGGATGGTAAGGTATGCAGACTAAAGAAGGCTATTTATGGGCTTAAACAGTTTCCTCAAGCATGGTTTGGTAGGTTCAGTGAGGTGGTA